TCAGTCTAATTACTTCCCCCAACCCATTGTTATAGGCAAAATCGTCGATTACGCCTAATCACGATCAACCCGTGACAGTACATGTATCTACATTCTACTTGATACGTTTGATACGTAACGGTAAAAGACGGTTATAAAACTTATTTTTCCAATCTTTACCCTGAAAAGAGGATCTATATATTGCATGTACTTATCGTCTTCGACAAAACAAGAGTCGATGCACCTTACCGTTACGTTACTTACGAGACGAGTAACACAAATAAATCATTCTAATCAGAAGTTTCCATTGGGTACTTGATGGAATCAACCTTCCATACAATGATACATGTCTACCAAATCTAATATGACATAAAAGGTAATTACCTGGTAGATGAGAAATTCTAGATACATGTACAATGTAGACTTGCAATGGGAGATTCAGCACAGACACACATCTTTCATAGCATCGGTTTCTTTGTTATCTGGATTTAGCTTTTTCCTCTATTCGTTTTCATCGATATTTTTGAGATAAATAAGAGAAAGATATTATTATTGGCTTTTTTGAATAGAAAAATATTGACAAATCAAATTTGATAAATAAGGATATTTTCATTGTAGAACCATTATCGTTAACACTAAAATTTATTATTACCTAAACGAGAAACCCAAAGTTCCATAAATCTCTAGCTGGGTAAACTTGATCTTATTCTCAGTTTGTGGAACTAAAAATTGGCGCCGCAACCCATCTTTATGGTATTAAGACATAAAAAGGAAGGCTAGTCATTATTGTTTAAGCGCTATTTAATTCGATCTTTTAAAGAATTTTTAATATTAAGCAAAAGAAATCCTTTTGCACACTTCTAAATTTATATTTAGTCATGGAGTTTTTTTAAGAAATCGTGGACGGGGTTAAGTTTATTTATTTTGTTCCCACACCCCCGAGTAAATCTTTTATTGATTACTACATGTAAATATATCAATATACTAAAATTATAAATACGTAATAAACGTAATAATAACGATAACGATAATCATAAATAAAATTTATGTATTTTGTTCCAAACGAAAAAGGGTGACAAAGAGAACTAGCTATTCGTTTTCTTGCGGCACAAATATTATATATTGTTTGCTGACCCAGTCCTATTCTTATTTATCAATTGTATACTATCGCTATCGTTATTTTATATATAAATTTCTTAACGTTAACATTAAGATCGTAAATTATATAATACGATTTACATTTCTATTGCACTCATTCCCATATATAAAAGGAGGGCAAAAATAAAGTAAAAAAAAGATCATAAAACCAATAATTGCATAAAAAAATCTCTCATTCTTTAAATCTTCCTATTGATCCACGCGACATATTACATACTGTACCAATACCGATTGCATAAACAAATAAAATCCTCCGATTTTTCCAATCAATCAATAACTAGATATAATTATAATTCTCTTTACTACGACAAACATAAACTTCTTCAATTCGCCAGCATCAACAACAATTCTCAAGTTCATCTTCTGATCCAATCGATAATAATAACAATATAGTGCGGGGCACCTAGTCCCACAACTGCTGCGCCACATGGCCAAGTTGGAGTATCTGGTCATCCTCCAATTTATTGTGAAAATGCACTCTCCACGAATTTTTGAATAAACTTAATTCTGGTCGCATTATCACAAATGTCTTTAATTTTGGCTGATAAACTTAATTCGGGCCTGCATTACCGCAAAAATGACATTACGGTGTCTTATCCCTAGGCTCTCTTTTCTCTCACCCAAATATTGTCAGAGCGATATACGTATTGTGCAACATAGAGATCCAATTTGAATTCTTAATGTTCAAAATTTAATATCAATCTTAATGCTAGCCAAAATCTAATACATTATTCCTAATGCTAGTCAAAATCTAATACACTACCCTTAATGCTGGCTGAATTAAATGGCCAAATTAGATGTAACCATAATAAAGTCAATAAAGTTAAAAATCTCCATTAAATTGTAGTTTAAGTCTAACTAATGCAAATAATTGCTTTAAATTTTTAATTAATAATTTTCTTTTTGCTAAATAAAAAAATGCAATGTTATACTAAAAGTTGTGTGACTATGTGTCCCGCACTATATTAAAGATAAAAATCGACGAGGCAGACGTTCACCGAGCATAGATACAAGAGAGTCAAGGGTTGGCGTAATTAAAAATTTACATCCTGGTGAATCGAGAAATCATTTTCCATCTACACAAGAAACACTTCAAAAATGCATTGATTCAGAAGAAAAGCATTAATAAAAGCGGGTTCACTCGAACAATATCTGCAACACATGCAAGCTTAGAATATCGCATTATGTTTCGGTTGGCAGGGTCAAGTCTTCAGTCCTATAATAAAGAAAGCATTAGACGAACTAAGAGCTGATAAAGAGGAGATTCAGAAACTTCAATAATTCATCACTATAATCATCTTCATCAACCACAAGTTACATTTGCGCCCATTAACTCTATAGAATGTACAGTGCAAATCATAAGTAACCGACTTTCCGAAAATCATGTCTAATGTTATGAAAATTTCCGGATACAAAGAACATTACAAATGCTAATCATGATGCCTTTTACAGATTGGTAGAGCTTCTATATCGGGTATTGTATATTCATAATTTTCATGCTCGAAATACAATAAATTGGTCACTTTAGGACATAATATCTCGATACCTTGCTATCCAATTTGAGCGAAAATACCACCATTTGATTTGCCTAGATTCGGCAAATCGAATGCTAGTATTTTCGCTCAAATTGGAGAACGGTTAAAGCGTAGTCCATCACGTGATATATCTTAAAAATATTACAAGGTAATTTTAACGTTAGGGTTAGGGTTGGGAAGGGGATCAAGGTTATATTTAAAATTGTCTTCCCGACATTTTTAATTAGTGCTCCAAGAAAGATTGCACCTGTTTTTCGTATTTTTTCATTTTTTGTCTTTGCTTCAAATTTGTTTTGCCGGGTTGATTAAAAATTTACGCATCCTCATTGGTTTGTTTTTCGGACAGATTATCGGATGGACTACGCTTTAACCAATCTCTCAAATTGGATGGCTAGATATCGAGATATTATGTCCTAAAGTGACCGTTTCTTATTTGTCGATCAATTTTTCATAAATTGACCGCCAGAAAAAATGAATCGGTCAAATTAGAATGTAATATTTCGATCTCCAGTGATCCGATTTGAACAAAAATAATACATTCGATTTTCCTAATCAAGATGAATCGAATGGTAATATTTTTGTTTGAATCGGATCACTGAGATTGAAATATCACGTCCTAAATTGGCTGATTCATTTTTTGTTAACGTCAAAAAAAATGAATAGGATGCAATATTTCGACGTCCAGTGATCCGATTTGAACAAAAATATTACCATTTGATTCATCTCGACTAGGCGAATTGAATGATAGTATTTTTGTTCAAATCAGATCACTGGATGTCAATAATTAGATTATTGGATATTGAGATGTGTGCTAAGAAATAACTGATTATATTTTGAACATGAAAGTTTTATGAACATACAATACCCGATATAGAAGCTCTACAAATCTATAAAAGGCATCATGCTCAGCATTTGTAATGTTCTTTGTATCCGGAATTTTTCATAACATTAGACATGATTTTCGGAAAGTTATGGGGGGGGGGTCGGTTACTTATGATTTGTACTGTAATACAACTGCTGCGACTGCTAATACGACAACGCCTGCTGCGGATGTTGGTAGGAATGGATATTAATAATAGTAACAATAATGCAGCAAGACAAATAATTTATGATACCGAATCTCAGATTCAAAACCATTTGACTTCTTGTAACGGTAAATAATTAGTCAATAATCAAGTCCTTATTTCTAATTCTAATCTCAACCAAATCAAAATTTAGATCAAAAACAGTTCAGTAGTTTGTTTCGACACCATATGTAATTATGAATCAACAAGGAAAATGTCTCTTAGCAATTTAACCTCTGCCAATTCATTACAGAATTTACATCAACTCTATATGAATATTGCATCATTAAACTTACCATCTCAATGGAATGCCGTTGATACCTCTCATTTATATTATCGAATTTGCAATTCGCAGCATTTCGGATTAACCGATGAATCAGCATCTGGAAAGCATTTACTGATGATATTAACGAGCGTGAGAAGCAGGTCCAATTGGTGTTACATAAAAAACAAAGTGCAAGTAATTTAGTTCGACTAATTATCATATGTCAATAAATGATTTGCAGATACCTTACTATTTTTCTCTTTTATTTTACTTTCAAAGCGAACTACTTTAGTAAAAATCATAATAAATGTCAAACCCCAGAATTGCAGAAAATCCACGCTTTTATCAGATCGACATCAGGTGAAAATAAATCATGATTGTCAATCTATGTAGAACCCTAACGCTAACCCGCTTACAATTGTTTACTATATTTAAAAACAATCGTAAAGTCAGTGACAATAAGATCCAAGGTAAAGATATACATGCAAAAAATTGCTATTGGTGAGAACACAACCTTTGTATCACTGGTTGCTTTCGCCACTAATAAAGCAATACCACCAGCGGGAAAACAATTTTGTGATCCGATCCATTGAGGAAACACTCGAGTATATGCCTGAGAATTTGGTAAAAGTAGTGATAACAGGAAGTGAACATGCAAACCTTCTTGTTACACTGGAAGATGTTGGATCTATTGATTTCGATTATTTTTAATTATGAAATGAATTCATGCCTGCGAGATCGAATGAAAAAAAGTGTGGTGTTTATTGTTGATGTTTATTGTTGATGTTTATTGTCGATGTCATGTATATTTTTCTAATTTCTAATTAAATTATCATTTCTTTAATGTAATATACCTTATTTTGAGAGTGTGAGAAATTAATACTAAACTTCGTCTGTTTGTGACTTAATTCTTTATAAAAAAAACATTATTATTTTTACTTTCTCATATGGACCATACAAAAGAACATTAAACCAAATCACTAATACTAAACTAAATATAAGCATTAATATATGTATTTACGGTTTTATTTATTATTTATTCAATTAAATTAATTAAACTAGTAATTTTTTTCGAATAATTCCAAGTTTTCTTCCTTAGTAATATAAAAAAATTTAATTAATATTTATTATTTACAATCTTAATTCTTAGGCTTTTCTTTCACGGTTCGATAGAAATCTTCAGTTGCGATTAAAGATGGTCAGGTCCTACACGGTCTTACTATGATCAGTCTTATAAAATATACTATGGTCTCAAATTTGTGTAAGTCCAAAGACTATTGATCTTTACATATCAGTACTCATTGTTAAAATCGTTGCAGATGATCACATACTGCGAAAATCGATTTTTTCAGTCTTACACAAAAAAAAGACTGGACTGCAAAGATTGCAGTCTTTTAGGATCGGTGGCCATCTTAAGGTTTCTAAATTTTTTATATTGTTGAATTTATAACAATCTGTTATGTCCAACTAAGAAGGATCTAGGCCCATTGATTGGAAATGGCTGGAAATAATAAATTATCATGATATGTATATTTAAGATAAGAATCTTTTTATAAATATTCTCGATCCATCAGTAAGAATATCAAGTTTTTATATCTCACATATATTCCTAATTCAGCACCATAAAATTGCATGCATACTCAAAATAAACGAGAAAACAATGTTTGTAAACTCAATAAAAAGTTTATTAATATCGGTAATCTGTTTTTTATTTCGTAATTAATAGTTTATTCCCGCTTTAGAAAATCTTTTTTAAATTTTCTAAAAAATAATTTTGGTACAAGAGATAGGTTAACTTTATCAGAAAAGTGTCTTTGAAAAAAAACACGTCCGATTTCATAGCCAATATAAGACAAATTATTCATGTATGAATAAAAAAATCATTTTTGAAATTATAAATTATCGTTATAAAGCAACATATACATGTACATGAATTTTTTATATTGCATTGTAAATATAAAATTTTTCATGTATAGTACCCTCAAAAAGTAACGCCCGATTTAAAAAAATTATACAGTAAAATACATATAAATAATTTTTTTGTTAATTTATAATTAAAACAGATATTTCATTTTAAAAGTGACATAAGTCGTGTTCATTTTTTCCAAATAACAATTGATTAGCTTTAAAATTACTAATAGAAATATAGATAATTTGAAATTTTCATATATAAAGCGTGGGAAAATTTTTTTTACTTCTCAAGTTGCCACAAGTCTTGTATTATTTTTTCAAAAATACAATCAATTAGCTTTAAAAAAATGATATAAAATTTAGGAATAATTATTATAAAAAATTTAGAGATACGTATACATTTTTTGTATGTTTTGTTACTTTTTGGTACTGTTCATGCAATCAAATCTCTTTTTCAATTCGGTCCACGATCACAGTTCGGTTTAGTCTTTCCAAAGACTATCGGCCTTTGGACTAAATGGACCGATTAACAACCCTAGTTTTTAATACAATTCTTTAAGCTGGACATTTTTTCTTAATGGGCGAAGAACTCGTTAACTTAAAAAAAAATCGCCCTTCATGATCGACTCTGTGTCATATGGAAATGCTGTATTTTTCACACCAGATAGGAATTAAAAATTTGTCCGCCACTCAGACTGTAAATAAGATCGATATACGTTACCCAAAATTATCTTAAATGCGTTTCTGATTGCTCTATCCGATTGATAACGATAATACGTACATGTATTCGCACCCTCTTAAACGCACACCCTAGGGACTCATAGGAGGACTTTCATGTGATTGGTTATTTTCATGTGATCGATTAAGGGTCGATTACACAAATTTGGTAATTCGATTTCGTAAAACAATACCATTGTTATTGTGATTAGCTAATTTATGTCGATCCAAGCATGATTATTAACCAATCAAATCAATCAAAGAAACTAGCGAAGCTTTACTTTTTATTTATATTTTAATAGCAATACCGATACTATTATATTTTTTAGCCATCACTACCTTTACTAGAGACACATTACAACCCCCTAGCCTATATTATAATTAAACAAACATCACTTGTATTTATTTATCTGCTGTTCATACAAATTTATACACATTATCCAATGAACTTAACTTTTATTTTAGATTTAAAGATTATAAAGTAAATGATATCGATATATGTATATAAAGCTTTAAGCTTAAATATCTTGCTTGTCTTTTTTTCGTTGACTGTTTTTAACACAATAGTACATATATAGAGTTGGTAGTAGTAATAAATAGTAAAGTTTTTGCCTTCTAAGTAAAGTATGTCAGGTTCTGGATTCTTTGGAGATTCTTTTTGAATAGTAAATATTGACTCGTTTAAAGCTAGAAATGGGTTCTACGATGATTTTTTATTAGTAAATGTGACTTTCTCAAAAAGTACTTAAAGTATAAATAAGTTACCCGGGCAATTGATTTACATTAGCTAATCATACGAAAGTCTTCCTATGACCTAGGAACCGGATGAAAGCGTGCATTTAGATAGGGTGTGCACTTAGGGAAGGTACTCTTAGAGAGGTGTGACTGTATACACAATTGCCAGTACCAACGCTAATGTCGTATGAACCTAAGAAATTGTTTCCATTTTCTTATATATTAACAACTCAGTAAATAGCGATTGTCCCAATTGTGAACTTTAATCAAGTTTTCAATTTGTAAACAGTGCCTTTGCAAGTAGAAAGTGAAATCAAGATGAAAATGTTTTCTTTTTTAATATAAAAATCAAAGACTGTTTGTATAAATAAATCAAATATATAGTAATAGTGATAGTAAATAAATACATATGCACGTATCGGTATGTATGTATAGCGAAATTTATAATTAATAAGTCTTCTTAGAGGATTTTAACTTAAAATGAATAATGTCAGATAGTTCAAGTTGATGAGGGAGGTCAAAGAGTAACTGAGATGACAGAATGATTGCCAACTGCATATAATAAAATTTCACAAGTAAGATTATATAATAAGTAGAAAAGCTCATTCTAACGAAATATCATTAAATCCACTACTGCCACCACCACTAACACCATCAACACAGCTAACTTCCATTTGTTTGCCTTTTCCACAATGACTCTCACCAGCAACAACCAATAACCCTTTTTCTTCATTTGCCTCCTCCAACTTATTGGCATCGCCAACATCGAAATGATGCTCTTCCTCAAAAGAATTAATCAATTGTGGTTGCTTCACTACAACCTTCGGTATAAAAGCCGGAGAGGGAGGTTGCACTACAGGTGTTCGAATCGTGTACGCGGCAGAATTACGTCGTTCGTCTTCGGCTATTTGTTCGGGTGTTGGTTCGTCGGTGATGTTGGGAAGTGGCATTCCTCGTGGTGTTGTCGTTGGAAAGTGGGATGTGAGAATGGGATTTTGGAGAGCGAATAAGAGTGCAAATGTGCTCAAGATAGTTAAAAAATCTTGTGCTGTCTATAATATCACTTATGTTATTACAGCCAAAACTTATATAAGTAACAATTGAAAAAATAAAAATATACTTGAAATTTTATGAAATTCCCGAATGTGGGTGGTTGTCGCGCAAACGATAAATTCGACATTGTCAAAAAAGAAAATGAAATGACAAGTAACACTGTCATCATTATAATCTACAAATTAATTATACACATTACGTAGTTGAAAAAAAAAATAAAATCACAATAATAATAATAATATTATTATTATTATTCTGAATAATTAAATTACCTGTCTAATCTCATTATCCTTTAGTCCAAGTCCACGACGACTCGCCACCTCCTGCCGTTGTCGTTGATCCAACAACGACAAAATCATAAACCCTGCAAACAACAGATACCCAAGATTTACTATGACAATTACAAACACCTGCCAAATCAATGATGGAATAATAATCATGGAATCGAATCCCGACACGAGATATGGATCATATATGATATCTATTACGAACGTCGCGACTGTTAGTAGTGTTGTGATGTAGAGTAGTTTGTGGGCTATTGGCAAGATATGGTGGAACCAGACTGAAAAGTTTGTGCCGAATCCTACTTTATCTTTTGAGACTTTTATCCTAGGTTATGCTTTTTAGATTAGTTGGATTCTTTGTGTTAAACAGTTTGAAGTGTATAAAATTTCTCACCATGAAACCAACAAAATAATATAACAAAGACATAAAATCAAGAAATTGAGATTTATTATAACCGAATATCCAAAAACCGATAGTTTCTCTTCGCGAATACTGTACGGATCCAATTCCAAAATTATTAACGACACTATAGTATAAAAAAGAAAATATTTAACTGAGTTTGCGTGTACATCTAATTGAAGATTTTTTCTTAACTCACTTATAGAGCAATAGGCAATGGCGGGTAATATAAAAGTATTTGGGTTTCCTAGTGAGATTTCAAAAGTTCCTTTACCAATACAAAAAAACCGAAGCATGAAATATCCACTTGTCAATGCAAGCAGCCCATAGATCATTCCAAAAATAATTGACCACGCAATCCAAAGTGGCTTACGCAAGAATTTTCTGTATGGTCCGACATCTATAATTTTATCCATAAAGAAAGAGTATGAATGAAAATTCATTTTTCCCAGTAAGCTTTCTTAAAAAGAACCATTTGCTTACCTGATGTGAACGAAAGACTAATATTCATACTATTTTTATTCTCGACCCCTATACGCCTCAAAGCACTCATGTCGCTGTGTTTAATTAAACTCAGATACGGTACAGATTTTTTCAAGATTGCTTTTTCGCCCATGAAAGGTTCTCTTACACCTGGGTCACCGTAATTTATTGATGTGAAAACGATTACTCTTGGAATATTATTTATCGTTGAATACTCAAGATTATTGTTATCTGCTTGTAATTCCCGTTTTTGTGACCTTTTCTTGAATTTGACTGCTGTGACATTTTGATCGCTTTTGCTGCTGTTAGTTTCATCTTCGTAAATTTCATCGCCGTCAAATAAAAAAGTATCATCTGTCGTCCAATTATTTCTGGTTAAAACGAATTAGTTAACCTTCGGAAATCTAATCGTTAAAATCATAATAACGATAATATTCACTCACACCTTTTAATGATATCCGAATAACTCTTACATTGACTATCCCAAGCAATTTCAAACGGGACAAATAGCACAGCAGTTTCCTCCGGAAAAGGTTTAATCAAACAATCACTGTCTTCAAAATCAACATAACTATTACTACTTTTGCCAGTACTATTATTTAATGTTCCATTGTTAACTTTTAAATCAGAGTCGCTAAAAAATTCAGCGACAGAGAATTTTCCCGTAACCGAAAACAATCCACCGTCATCATCAAAATTTCTTTGTCTGTATAATGACTCATAGAAATCCGTATTCGATAGAAAAATAACTTGTTCGTACCGGTATATTTGTATTGATGCGTCGACCAACGTCCATGATAATATTGATAACAATGACCAAAATGTTATTGAGATCATAGATAAATGCGAAAATCTAAAAGGTGAGAACGAATCTGAACGCCGACGAGAACGCATTGTTTTATAATTTGTATTTCATTAAAAAATTCTTCGAGTTGTATGTAGATAAAGCTTATGTATTATAATAGTCAAAATATTATGATCATTATTATTATGATGATTAAAAAAAATCAATTATGCTCATTAATATTTTGTTATTGGAAACCAATTAAACATGAAATCCAGTATTTCCGGTTACAGTTTATGATAATAACGAACAAAACAAATAAGATCTCGTATGTTTCTGCTGTGAGTAATTATTTATTAATACGATAGTTCTTTATATATATGTTGTACGTGTGGTATAAATGAACGGCAAACAGCGACCATTGCACTACAATAAATTACGCTTGTGTCTTTCTTATTTCAAATTACGTAACTTCTACGACGTAAATTTTATCCTCGACCTTGCCAAAAGTATAAAAAATCAGCAAGTGCATGAGCAGTTCGATAATGGTAATAATGATAGTAGGCTGTATTTTTCGATTGTGTTCCATTCGGGATTTTCAAGTACGTACCATATTACATGAACATGTATATTTTTGATTTGCGTGCATACTAATAATGCTGCGCCTTATTATCGTTATTGAGTTAGTTCCATTTTTAGGGATGCTAATTGCAGAGATCAGGTGTAACATATAAGTTTGACCAAACGAAAAATTTCAAATAACTCAAATAGCTCAAAATTTTACTATAATAACTAGCTTTCAACCTCCAAGTGAAAATGTTCAACGCAAAATTTTAGGTATAGTTTAATTTTTGAAAGCTAGCACCTTATCTAACAGAACAGAACTTCTAATGAATTTGATAATTAGTGAAATTGCTTTAACCCCTTTTTTTAGGATTATTAGAACATGCTAATACTAAATGAGTTCATACATGCACATGAATGAAACCAATGTGCATTCATGTAAACGCGCAAATACAAAAATGATTTTTAGAACTTCGAAATTAATCGTACATAAAAATGCTTGGCAAACTGATTAGGTTGCTATCTCGACATAAATAATGAACATGTATAACGTCAATAAATTTTCCGAACACAAATGCTGATCATCTGTGTCTTTTATTGTTAGAACTTCCATATCGATCGGGAGAACGGTTAAAGCGTAGTCCATCACGTGATATATATTAAAAATATTAAAAGGTGATTTCAACGTTTGGGGTTGGCAAGGAGATCAAGGTTATATTTAAGCACCTGTTTTCAGTATTTTTTCATTTTTTGTCTTTGCTTCAATTTTGTTTGATTAAAAATTTACGCATCCTCATTGCAAGGCTGTCTTTTAGACAAGATTTTGAAAATTGTGAGTTTTAGACAAGTTGTCTAAAAATATAAAGAAAGTAATACAAAATCTAAAGCATTCAATATCTTTCTTTAATTGATATAAGGATCCACAATATTTTTAGACAAATTGTTATATTCTTATCTCAAATATTTTTTCTCATGCTGTCTAATTGTCTAAAAGACAGCCTTGCTAATTGGTTTGTTTTTCGGACAGATTATCGGATGGACTACGCTTTAACCGATCCCCATATCGGGAATAAACTTTCACGTATCAAATACAAATTAGTTATCGTTATTTTATAACACATATCAATATACAACAACCTAATTACTGATTTGAGCAAAAATACTATCGCTCTCATTCGATTCACCTAATCGAGGTAAATCCATTTTTTTTTATATTAACAAAATGAACTCATTTTTTTTGGCGATCAATTTCTAATGAATCTGTCATTTTAGGACGTAATAACTCGACGACGTTCAGTGATCCGATTTGAGCAAAAATATGACCATTCGATTACCTCGACTAGATGAATTGAATGGTAGTATTTTTGCTCAAACCGGGTCACTGGACGTCAAGTTATTACGTTCTAAATTGACAGATTTATTGTATGTTTAGCGTGAAAGTTTATGAACACACACAATACTCGATATAGCAGTATTTGTGTCATTCTTTATCTCGATGTAATGCCAAGAAATTTTCCGAGCATGAAGAGGGTCGAATCCTTATGATTCGCTCTGTATGTTGTGCCTCAGATCACACTCAGCCCAAATTAAGATAGGAGTATTACTAGAGTTAGAGTTGTGGTTTGGGTTAATGCTGGGAAATGGGTTAATGTTGGCCGAAAATGACCACGTGAAGTTGTGATCTGAGGCATCGGACTTGTAGTATAGTCACAATCAAAAAATATACAGTACAGTTCAGTAGAATTCGTTGCTGGCGAATTACTGTATAACCCAGTGACTGTATGGCACGTGGTTTTTAACGTCGCTGTCGCTACTTCCTACCAGTAGGACGAGTAATATGATGTAATTAGCTTACTTAATACGACATTAGTACTTTCCTTGGATTACTCAACTAAACTATAAAGCATCGTAATACTCTTATAATTATTTTCATTTATTAAGAACATTCCCATACAAGAATAATTTGAAAACTAGTGAGAGCGCCACTCTACATTTCTGCGTTGTGAAACTCATCCCAATTTGCTCCTCCATCAAAAAATAGCTTACCTCTCAAAAAATGTCCAACAAATGCCAACTACGTATTGGTCCAATCTTGATAAAATATTTGTTCTGATGGACCTGTAAAGGCGATGATAGTAATTTCTGACAGTTTCCAACGGATTATCTGGTATACAAGTGAGATAAACTCACTACTTGCCTAGATAACAATGAACTTATCGACATTCTTCAAATCCTAAGCTTAAATACAATGATGATTCTCAAAACCAATTCGCTAGTTTACTAATCTGTGGTTTATTCATCGTACGATTCCCAAGTCCGAACCGTGATCCCAAGTCCTGTGAGTCGTCCGTGCAAAAGTTGAAATACAAAGGTTAAGATAATTGTTATGAAAATTAAAAATTTCTATCTTATGAATATCGGAAGAGCTCGAATAAGCCAACTTTAGAATTGTTTTATTCTTTGCCTTTCAATTTATCAAAAAAAGAGGATTCCGAAACTTCACACAATAAAGAAATGTGAAATTTTCAATTAAAGGTAAAAATAAGCAAATTTACCGGTGTGAACAAAGATATAGCACACCGAAAATTTATTATGATCGGATGGCTTCAATCAGACAATGATAGACAGCATTGGCCATTAATAGACAACCCGCCTACAATCATCCAACCTGTACCCTATAATAGAATAGTCCCATCCAAAAAAGCCGAAGGAAGATCCCACGGGCGCCATTGATATCTCTATCTATCTCCAATCCGCACCATCTACATATAAATATCTTTCGTTCTCCTGACTTCTGATGTATCCAACCACAATTGCTACATGGCTTGCTCGTATATGCCTCATCAACCACCAGAACATCCTTATGAAGCTCTTGGGCCTTTGAAATCACCACCGGCTATGTGCCCAAATCACCATTTTGCTATTGATTTTACGATGCTATCGACGAGCCATCTGAAAGTTGGAATGACAATTATATCAAAGATACGCATAGCCACAATGCGGTCTTATGATGGCATTCATCAATGAGATTGTGAATACGTTGTCGAATGCGCGCTTGGGCCTGGCACATAGAATTCTATTTCGAACAGAAGCTTGGGTCATCCAGGAATGAGGTCATCAAAATTGAAACCAATGTAGCCAGAGCCATGCATGGGTGAATACTTAAAAAATAAATTAGCTATATGACTCTTTTACCAATAGTGAAGAAACTCTTCATTTTAAGTAACTATAACAATAGCTTTTCATTTTGAAACTTTTTTAGATTTGATTGGTCTTCTCAAATCTTTGGATAATCTGAGTCTTTGTTTAGGAGAAGTTCAAATAAGTTGGCCAAATGAGATATTTGCTTTTGCATCAACTATATCTTCTAAGATATCATAAAATAATGATTGATCAGCAAGAACTATTAGTACTGCTTTGCCTTTCTTCTTTCTTACTCATTTTCAAGTTTAGCAGTTTTGACTGATACAGTTGATTCTTGTATGTTTGGAGGTAGAATATTAATAATTGGATTACTTGGTTCAGCTTCATTAGTATTATTTCTATTATAATATCATCATTATGCTTTGTTTTGGATTTCTTTCTTTTATTTGCATTATATTGTTTGTTCACAAGAAGAGTAGTCCTGAAAAGTTGTTGGATAAGATTGTTACTCATTATTTATGAATTATAAAGCTATAAGTAATAGTTGTAATTGGTTTAAAAGAGCTGTAGTATTTGTTGTATTAAAATTATTTGTTGCTGACTGATTATTGTGACTGGTATTATTTTGAATATTGTTGCTTTGGTTCTGATTTTGTTTCAGTTAATTTCTCTAGTTATTGTTGTTTTGGTCTGCATTTTGTTAGAAATTTTCAGAGTTGAAGGATTGACTGCACATTCTAGAGATATGATCAATTTCTCTACAATTATAACAGATAGGTGATTGATATTATTGGTTACAGTTTTTAAAGTTTCAGGATTATAGTAGTGATTTATTTTCTAGTTTATCCAATCGAATGACTATTTATTAAATAGCTAAAGCTAGAGTGACTATATCAGAAGAGTTTTGTACTAGATTTTAATGACTTGGTTTTGATATAGTTTCTTTTTTAGCTTCTTCAGATAGTTTTGCTGTATTAACAAGTTCTTAAAAGGTGTTTTCATCTTGAAAAGTGATCCATTTTCGAATGGCTGGATTTAATTTATATTAATATATTCTTTTCTTGTATGACAAGGAGTAATTTTTATTAGAATTCACTTTGTGAATTAGTTTATTGAATCAATTAGTATATTGTTCAACAGATTCAGTTTGTTGAAAAGTTTTGAGCTTATCTTGCTAGCTATCCAATTTTTGTTGAATTCTAAATTGTTGTTCAAAGCAAAATTTGAAATTTGTATAATCTCAATTGACATTGATTTAATCTTGTAGGATATTATTTAGTAAATTTTATTGTTCATCAAATTATGATGCAGCAGCACCTTCAAAATATCCATGAATAACTTGAATTTTTTGATTATCAGTAATTTTATTGGCTAGTGCTACCACTTCAAAATCTCAAAGTTA